GGCAGAATAAAACTTGGCCCTGGGGTGGGGTGGTGGTGGTGGTGGTGGTGGGGTCCTGAGCAGACCACCGTGGCCCCAGGGCCCCACACAGAGACTGTAAAGGGTGATCAGGAACACAGGGGATGGGGGGACATGAAGAGGCATCCCCATGTGTCACAAGAAGTCTAGAATCAAGGTCTGGAGCAGCCACCGCTACCCGAGTGACCTTGGCAGGCCTGGCAGACTTCTGGACCTATCTCTTCATCGTGGCCGAAGCCATGGCAGGGCTGGGAAGGTAGACAGACAGGGATTTGCCAAGCATTCCCTGGTGACGAGAGTGGACATGGCCAACCAGGTGAGAGGTGGGCACCGGCCAAGACATGCCGGGTGGGCCTGATGCTCCGGGAGACCTTGGAAAAGGCGCTGGGCAGTGAAGGGCTCCTCTTGGGGTTGTCTTCTTGGATCATCATGAATTCATGACTCATTATTATTCTTGTCAAAAAGAAGTTCCAGGAAGAGCAATCAAATCATTCTGACTTCCTCACCTCCCCCCCCCCCAATGTTTCTGTTGTTTGTCCTCCTGGGGGCAGGTATTATACTTCTTTTGTTGCTATCAGTTCCCCCTCTGGCCCCCTTCCCTCCCCCTGCCACGCTCTTGGTGATCACACACCCTCCCCGACTCCATTCACGTCAGTAGCTTTCAGGGCGCCCAGAGCCATCCATTAATCAGTGAAAATGTCTCGGGCACCTATTGTATACAGGCACCTAGAGGAAGTCAAACCACCTAGGGGCTGGGAGTGGGGGCAGAACAAGGAGGACACAGTGTGCGGGCCCCTGAGTACCTTCTGTGCTCACCCCCATCCTCAGATGAGGGGATCCAACCTATACTTTTCTTCTCTGGAAGGAGGGAGTCACTCCTGGACTGAGCCTGGTTCACTCTTCCACCTGGCAGGTGGGTCCACCGCCTTGCGATGGCGAACTTGAAACAGAGAACGAGGGGGTGTGGTGAGCCTTTCTGGCTGCCAGAGAGCAAGGGTGGAGGGTGACTGGCTGCATCCTGGGAGCAAGCCGCTTGTGGAGGGGGAGTGAGGAGAAGCCATGGAGGGGAGAGGCATACCAGCTTCAGCAGAGGGAAGGCAAGAGCCCGGGCAGAGAGAGCGACTGCTCTGGGGTCTGTGCCCCATAGCAAGGCTGTTCACTCCCAAAGTCTAGAGAGAGCCCGGAGTAGTGAAGAGGGCTGGTTTCTGGCTCCTCATTTGCAGGCTGCAATTCCTCCAGGGAGAGTCCTTGAGTCCCCGCACAGGGAAGGGCCATAGGGGGTGGGGGGAAGCAAGGGAAAGGAGTCACACCCCAAACTACCACCATCTCCCTGCTCCTGGAGACCAGGATCCCTTGTGGGGGTGGGACACAATAGGGGTGATGATTCAGACCAGCAAGGCCCTGCGCGTGCCTGTGGCCAGAGAGGGCAGGCTGGGAACCAGCCGATAGACTCGAATAGAGCATCTTCTTGCAAATGTTACTCAACCCTTCCCTGAAAGGACCAATGTGTGTCTCTCTCCATTCACAGGCTCTTAGCACTGCGTGTTTGAAAAGTTCAAGAACTTCGACCCTGCCTCCACCCCTGCCCCCACCTCCCCAAATCCCATTACAGAATCCAGCCCTGCCACGGAGTTCAAGTCCACACCCAGACACACACGGACACTGCCCCCTTTGTGCCCTGTGAAGCATTAGGAGCAGAAGCAGAGGGTTCCTCTTGGCCTCGTGGCCCCTGTGCCCAGGGCTTCCCCTAACAGGTGGCCGTGTCCCTTCTACCCCTTCAGCTAGGGCGTTTTCAAAGGGGGGCCACAGAGGGAAGATCTTTCCAATGCAGATTCTCACCAGGAGGCCAGTGAAAGAGAATAAAGGAGAGAAAATAAAATAATATCCAGAGGACACCGCCCACCCCCCCCCTAAAAAAAGTCCCAATGACAAGCAGAGAGCCCAGCGAGATCAGAAGAAGAAGGCTTGGGCTTTATCCAGAGTGATTAGCAGCATCTTGGAAAGGAGATTCGAAATCTGTTCACAACTTCTCAGGTCTGAGCAGGAAGACACAACAAATAAAGAGGTGACGGATTGTGGGGGAAAGGGATCTCCCCATCCCACCCCTAATCTTTTGGAAAGTCTGGTTGATCACAGAAACCCCAGGTGGTGGTAAGCAGAAGTCCTGGCAGTGGGGTTTCTGCCAGGGCCAACCTCATTTTGATGCTCAAAAGAGCAAATACATAAATGCCTCATGGGAGCCCTTGCCAACCTTGGGAAAGCGTCAATCTCTGGGAAGACAAGGGGTTGAAAATCTCCTAGCCGTTTCCTAAGTGGCCGAGTCCCCGCTTTCAAAGGTGGTCCCAGGCCTGAAAGAGGAGTTGAAACCCAAGGCCAGCTGAGACAGGAGCCTGGAGTAGGCACCCTACCTGGCAAGACCTTGGTGACAAGTGGATAAGGGGGCAAAATCAGGGTGGGGTCTGGCCCAGCCCTCTGCCCACTTGCCTGGACCCTCTCCCTGGGGAGAGGGCAGCACCGGACTGCATCCAGGGCTTCTATGTGCACTGCAGGACCCCTGGCAAGTGTTGCAATTCTAACCTTTTCCAGATGATTCGGAGTGGGTGGGGGTGGAGGGAGAGTCGGGGCGGCTTGGAGAGAAAGTTAAAAGGGGGTGGGAAGTACGCTTGGGGTGTGTGTGTGCCCCAAACAGATGGCGTTTTGGTGAAAATCTTTAGGCCTTTGCGCACAAGAGATCCAAAGCTCCCTCCAGCCCTCTAGTCTCCCGGGAACTAGAAAATGTGGCCAAGGGTGTACAGTCTTAACAAATTTGCAAATGAAGCACCTCCCCTCCCCCACCATACAAAATCATATTTATAACACACAGACACTGCCCCCAAATTATGGGCATCTGGCCCCCTCAAAAGAATGTCCCGTCTTTGCTCTGTTACTGACATGGCTCTATCCATCTTACTAAAAGCCAAAGGAGGCAAACTGCTACGAGGATGATTTCCCTAAAGCAACCCTCATTCACTTGGCTTTTCTTCGCATTCGGAATAAAAGTCTGTCATAAATGTTTAATTAAATGGAAGTCTTTCCACTGTTAATGACTAGCCGCATAAAAGGCTCTTCATTTTTTAAAAAAGGAGTGTATGTGTGTGTGTGTGTGTGT